AAAAAAAAAAAAAAAAAAAAAAAAAAAAAAAAAAAAAAAAAAAAAAATCTCACTTTCACCTAGGATATCAGAGTGGCACGGGAACACTTGCCCGGGCGGGCGAATAGGAGTTATAGCAAGACAAAAAACTTGAAAAAATATGAAAATAAAAATTATTAAAAAACATTTTTTATTTTATTTTTTTTGTAGAGAAATTCGATATGACCCTGAGGCAAAAGTTGTTCAGTTTATGTTTCTGCATAACATAGTTTTTTGGGTTTTTTTTTTTTTGCTGGGACCACCTTTGGTCCTTGCACGGCCGGGCCCCCCAGGCAAACAAGGTTACCCGGGCGGCCCGGCTGGTAGCCTAGACTTTCACCGCTTTCTGCGTGTTCATGTGAACAGTTCAGTTATGCGTTTTCGATTTTCAAAAAAACGTTAGCCACCCAATGAGAGAAACACCACCCACCCACCCACCCCCATGTACAAAAGGGGAGCAGAAGGGATTGTTTGCAGACTTTCCCCTTGTGCTTTTTTTGTGTGCGCACAGCCCGGTTGTGCACTTTTAGGGCTTACAAAAGTTAGCTGAATGATGAAAGAAACACCACCCACCCACCCACCCACACACCCACCCACCCACCAGAAAAGGGGAGCAGCAGGGAGAAGCATGGAGCAGCAGGGAGCAGCAGGGATTGTTTGCAGACATACCAGTGGCCAATGAGCGGGACATCGCCGGACATATTTGGCGACGAGTTGCGATTAAATGTTGGGATCCCTCCATTCAGCGGCGTGACGTAAATCCGACCATCAGTACCGCCAGCATACAGGCAGTATTCGGCAGCGTCCATCACAGCAACATTGATTCCAGTTGGGAAAACAATTGTGCGTAGAATTGTACCTAGGCAAAGACTCCATATCTGCAACACAGCATAGTGCATGCACATATATAAATTATTAATTTCTTATGCAAGGAAAATAAGCAACAGCGAGATGACAAATTCCAGATTACACCATCACATTGAAAGTCAGATAGTCACACTGTGTCCAGAGAGCAGCATTGCACCAGTAATACACCCATGGAGGTTCGTAGTACTGAAAACCAATGTCAAGGAGAGCTTTCTCTCTCAGCCACAACACAAGAGTCCAGTCCCTTCACACTCCTACTTGGCGCTCAGCGCCCAGCCTACTCCTACACAGCTACGATCAGCCTACTAATAGACAATGCAACTGTTGAAATCAGCGGCAACCCGAAGTACTTGAAGATGTCGCCCAAATGCAGACCATCGCCAATACAAGGTATGTGCCCTCACATCATCATCTTCATCATCATCCTTCGCCCTTCCCTGACTTTACACCCATGTCTTCCTCCCTTACACCCGAAGACCACTCATGCGCCTCACTGTAGTCCAAGCCACCAGCTATGGTGGCTGGGCTATGGCGCTGCCCTCAGCAGCGCCCTGCTTCCCTGCATGACCACACGTGCTGCACCTCGCCTCTCAGCGCCAGCAGCACCCCACGAGCAATTGCTCCAGCAGCGCTGCCGCTAGCATGCGAGTGCCTGAATGAGGCTGCCTGGGGAGAGCTCTTTCCTTTATGGAAAGAGCTGGCCTCCTCGTGCAGCCTGGCTGTACTGGCCTGGGCCCAGAAGCTTCCGGAAGGCCCCAGGATGCTGCCTTTGCGCTGCAGCTACTGGGCCTCGTTCGGTTGGGCCTCCCAACTGTCAGTGTATGAGGCTGCGTTTCACGCCCAGGGCCTGCATTCTTTGGAAAGGCCCGGTAGGCCGTGGAAATGTCTTGGTTGGTCAGCCTGTGTTTCTCTCAACCAACTGGCGCGTCGCAACCACCTGTACCCCAAATATGAAATTGACAGTCAAAGGCCTCTTGTAATAAGTTAGGCCCGCCTTCACTTAGGGCGGGCACCACTGCAACCGGGGGCCCTTAGGTCTGCCGAGGACCCAGATCCTCGCACTTATAAATATTTTAATTTATTAAATTTTTTATTTACTGTAAAATTGTAAACAAAATTTAACAAATCCTCCATTGGTTTTGACGAGTGAGCTATATCAATGGATTAGTTATCACAACTTACAGTTCATCGCTCAAGGGACGGGCAGAAAAAAAACAAAAAAGAAGATTTATTGTAGTCCAATGTGCAGACAAGGTTGATTATTTCACTTATGCGGAAATCATGCCAAAAAAATAAAAATAAAAAAAATAGTAAGCTACCGGATGTCCCACCAACTGCCGTAGCTCAGTTGGTACACCCTTGAACTGTTGAAATACAGACCAGGTCCTGAGTTCGAACTCCATCGGAAGCAGATGAGTAAATGCACGGAAAATGAGCAAGAGCGATAGTCAGAAAACCAAACTGCACTATCACACTGATGACCGGATAGTCATGTCCCAAGCAGTATGCAGTACTATGCACTGAGAGAAGCCAAAGAAGAGCAATGCAATGAGCTGCCAGGCTCTTCTCGCCACCATCAACAATGTATCCAATGCCACCCTTCTTGATTGGCGCTCAGCGCCCAGCCTACCTGTACGCGGAGCCTATGCTAGCCTACACTACGACATGCAACCAGGAAGCACTTCCAGTCGGACCAATGTACATGAAGAAGACGCCCATGCCGACTGTCGCATACACATCTGGTACGCGTATCTACTCCCTCTCGCTCTCTTCATCTTCTACTCCCCCCACAGCGTGTCTTTCGCTTACCCGACGACCACCATCGCCAATACCAGCAACACTAAGGCAAGCCCGGCTATGGCTGCCTTGCACCCTCTGCCCCCTGGCAGCGCCCTCACCTCAACACTAGCGCTCGTGTGCACCCACAAAGCAGCCAGCGCCCTGGTCACGACTTCCAGCGCTCAAAATGGCAGCGCTGTCGCCCAGCCGCCTGGCTCCCCAATGCCTGCCCGGGAAGCTTGCACTTTCCTGTACGGAAAGTGCGACTGCGTGAGCAGTGCCTTGCAGGCCGGTGTCGGGGCCCGGTAGCTTTGCCGTTCCAGACCGGTATCTGAACTCCGGGCCTGGACCCAGAGGTTAGCATCGCAGCGGTGCAACATCACTTCTGCTGCAGCGAGCCTCCTGATTGGCCGAGAGGCTGCTCACGACGTGTCACACAGCCAGGCCCCCTTCCACAAAACATCAGGGCCCGGTCACATAGCAGGACCTGGCCGCAGATCCTGCAATTGTCGGTCAGGCTCGACGCAACCTACCCCCGACAGCCGGTAGCCCACTTAAGAAAAAGCTGGGCGCAGACGATGAGGAGCCAGGGGCTGAAAAAGGGGCCTCGCGAGGGGTGCATATTCCTTGCATAAAATATTATCACTACTATTCACTAGTGAATTACCTAGGGCCGGTCAGTTCAATGACCATATCTCAAGGCCAGAAAAAGCTACCCGATGTCCCGACCCTGGATGTCCGGCCTCCTTTTTGGGGTCTGGATCCCGGATAACCTTGTCTAAAAAAAAACTTTTTTTTTTTTTTTTTAATCTGGCCTTTCTTCCATGTGCCTGGGCACGAATTTGTGACCAAAAACAACAAAAAAAATTGCTTTTTATCTGCCCTTTCTTCCATGTGCCTGGGCACGAATTTGTGACCAGACACACACCCGGCCTCCTGGCTGGGCAGGACCTCTGCGTGGGTTGCCTGGCAACCCCACCGCCAAAAAAAAAAAAAAAAAGAAAGAAATTAAAAATCTGGAAAAGAATAACGTCGTGTAGAATACTAGAATTGCAATACAAACAACTTTTTCGCTAAGGGTCGTCTCAGAATTCCTTACTGAATCGAAGATAGAAAAAGAACAAAAAACAAACTACGGCATCCCCCTTTGAACCCCTTTGAGCCCATATAAGCCCCCATTTATACCCCCCTTCTCCCCCCCCCAACGGACGAACAGAAAAGAGCCCAAATTTGTGCTGCTATCGGTAGGTGCAGAAAAGCCCCACCCACGGAAAAGGGGGAGAGGGGGGGGGGGGGAAGGAACAAAAACCAGAGTTTTTACTATTTAGCAACCTTTTACGTGTCAAATTTGAAATATCCCCTGGGTGGGCAGGCGGACACTCAGGCAACTTGTTTAAACGGTTGCCCTGCCCGGCGCCCCTGGTAAGCCTATGCTCGGATTTGTTTTTTTAATATTTTATCCTCTGATTTCATCACAAATTTGGAGATTACCCTCAGACCCCCAACAGTTTTGTTTGAATTGGAGTCCTCTACGACATA